ATATATATATATATATATATATATATATATATATATATATACATATATATATACAGGTATATATATATTATATATACAGGTATTCAATAGACTGATTGGATGTATCTAAAGAGTTCATTTCATACGGAGTCTGTGAAAAAAATAATAATATTTATTTTTATAGAAATATTTTAAATCAATATATTATGTAGACTCTATTAAATTTTTCTTATTATAAATATCATTATTATATATTACAAGCCACAGTAGCACACTTTAGGCTCTACTTTATCTGGCTTAGTCTAGACTCATGCAATTAGCCTCGTTTTTACGAGTGGGTCAATAGACGTGAACAACTCTGTGGACCATTGGCCAGCTGAAGAGTCTCAGATTTATGCCACTCCAGTGGACCACAACGGCAGCAAGATATTTATTAATTAACCATTAACGCTCCGGCTGCACTGGTCGAGCGGGCCAGCAGCAGCATTCATGATAAATGGATGTCTGAAGTGCAATTTGCATGCGAGTTTTTAAATCAGATGCAGCACAAAAACCTCAACACAAGAGGAAGCTGCTGCAGCAGCAGGAGTCGGAGTGGGCCCAGGTGCCGGAGCAGACGTTGATGAGCATCATTATGGCAAAGTGCGGAACGCTGCGGATGACATGGATGGATATTCAATGGGGATGACAATTATGACATGCCATTGGCAGCATTATTGCCTGCTGGCTGTTGGGATTAACGCCATTTTAATTGAATTTTAATATTTCACACACGACTCGAAAAGCCGGAAATGTGACGTGAGCCAGCGGCGCCAGCGTCGGGCTTTGAATTTGCGCAAAACCGCAAGTAAACGGGATGCCCACGACTGTCAAGTGGATGCCCGGCCGAGCTGGGCGGGGCGAGGTGGGGCAGATGCCAATGAAATCGCCATTATGAAAATCTGCCAACTGACATAAATGGTCAGACCAGAGCAATAATTTCAACGGGCCAACTGAATGACTGGCTAGCTTTAATGCCAATAAAAATTGAAAATAAATTAAAATATGGCAATTAGCAAGCGAACAAAAAACGTTAATATCAATATTTATTACAATTTTATAAACTATAAAAA